CTCTCTCTCTCTCTCTCTCTCTCTCTCTCTCTCTCTCTCTCTCTCTCGTCTGTTCCTCTCTCTCTCTAGACTTATATCATTCAGCCGCTCCTCTCTTCGCTACTATCCTAATTGTGCTTGACTATTGCTGCCTGAGCGCTCTCTCCCTCACCCAACGCTCGTCCTTTGTCCAGGACGCACCATAGCAGATGCAACTAGCAGCGCAACCGCAACTTTGTGAGGAAACCACTGAATTGGTCTGGCGTTGTAGAAGCTAAATATAGTTGCAGTTGACTGTTCGTGACTGCTTCGGACCGGTACCTGTCGCCAGCGGCCTCTGCCTTGCCAAAATTTGTGTTTCCGGAAGTCTTCGGACTTTCTTGGGACGGTGCTGCAAAATTGGACTTGGGACTGCAGCTACCAACGGACTTCTACTGACCTGTGACGCTTCGGTAGCCGACACGTACCGACCTACAGTGCTTTGATCTACGGACCCTGTGGACTGTTCTATAGGGACAGCGTGGGACCAGGACCAATTGGGACCAGGACCAATTGGGACCATGGGACCGGGACTTCGGGGACTTACTGTGTGAAATCCTTTCACTCCCATGGGCCTGATTTTGAGGTCCTCTGAGAAAGATTCAATCTTTACCTGCCTACCATGTTCATACCTCTCCTAGCATGCTCATAGTAGGATACAATATGAGGTGCAGTCTTTATTAGTTCATCCTTCTTGTACCAACGGTCATCTTCTGGTTCCCGATAGGCAAATCTAACCTTATACTGCCGTTTTGGTCTACCCCTTCTTCCGGTTCTGTATTCATCTTCCTCTAAGATATGGTCAACGTCATACCTTCCATCCATATCAGGAGGGATCATCGGTCTCCACGATGGGAATCGATGGTTAGTAACATAAGGCAGCAACTTAGACGTGTGGAATACCAGGTACGTGTGTAGAGTATAGGAGGGACCATCTGCATCTTCAATGACATCTAAGATTTCCCACGGTCCTCTATAAGCAGGTAACAACTTCTGAGTAATGTCCTCCGAAGAAATGTCCTCCTTTGATTATAAGCTCGCTGAGAGCGAACTTTGACAGTCCACAATGTTTATTCCCCTGTTCTATCATTTGATGCTGGGCTTTCCGGATGTTGTCAGCGACTTTCTGTATCTCCTTCTCGTAGTGAACTGCAAATTGTCTTGTGCGAGGTGGCAATCTCTGAATCTAATCAGGATTCAGGCACTCTGTTGGATTCCACCCCTTGTGCAACTTGTTGGGTGTCCGATTAGTTGCTAGGTGCACTGAGTTATTATAGGCAATAACTACCTTCGGTAGTAGTTCGTCCTCGTCTCTACCTGATCTGGTCTAATGTACATGTCGAGCACTTGCTGTAACAGTTTGTTCATCTGCTCTGTCTGTTCGTTAGTCTTGGGATGTCTGCCTGATGACATAGTGAATCTAGACCTAGACTTTCATCAGCCGTTCCCAGTGCTCGCTAGTGGATCGAGTGTCCTTATTACTAACTATGGTCATCGGGTGTCCGTACTCTGCGACCCAATGATCAAAGAACTTACAAATGACAAGATCTGTCTTTGCAACAGCAGGCCATGGGACAAAATCAGCAAATTTATTAAAGCTGTCAACTATGACCAGCACTTGAGTTCTACCACTTTGACTTTTGATCTTAGTGTTCATAAAGTCTATGGAGATTGAGTCCCTTGGGCCCGACGGTATAGGTAGCGATTCCAGTAGTCCTAGGGGAGGCTGTGTGAAACTCTTGTCCCGTTAACACCTCTTGCAGCCTTGAACGTACAGGGTGGAGTCCTGTTTCATGCCTGCCCATGTATAGGATCTAAGAAGGTTATCGTATGTCTTCCTCCACCCAAAGTGGCCCTGTGACGCCCTACCTCACGCCCAACGCAACTTCCTAATCGGAGTGGGTACTGGGTATGGAAGTAGTGAGAAAGGGGGTGTGCCAAGGATTTTAGGAAAAAGGGCTGGAGTCCCGGGTCGGAACTGGAATCTCGGGTGCCAATGTTCTAAGGACGAGGATGCAAGTGGTCCGGGCTGAAAAGGGGCGTTCTGAGTTTTCAGTGCAGCCGATCGTTAGCCCCGGCGCAGCCTCGGCAGTCGGTGCATGCAATTGCTGTCGTCGAATTTCAATGCTACGGGCTCGTATTCGTGGCGTCCTTCCTACTCATGCAGATTTGGTATTTGTGGGCCCTTTGAGAAAGGATTATGCGGGTGCGTGTATACAGTACGGGCCTAGTTGTCGGCGAGTTGTAGCGCATGCACGAGTTCGCACAAAATCCCTTCATCAGACATTAAACAAAACGACCAACATTCCTTCCCTTTTATTTCAGCAAACCGATCTCAGACAAACATCCATGTTCTCCAATCATAATCAGGACACGGGCGCACAAAGATACAAGCGATCAAAATTACGGAAGAAGCGATTGAAATTACAATCACCATATTCAACATCACTTCAGTAAAGAAAGAAAGGTGAAAGGTGCTCCGAAGGAAGAACAGGATTTACACAATCAGAGGTCCATCGGTAATTGCAAAAATGGGAATGACGAAACTCGCAGTTCCGAATGCAAAAATTCCGAGAGGGACAGAAGAGGAAGTATCATATGTCCCAACAACCCACTCTCTCTCTCTCTCTCTTTTCATCAACCCCCTTCTCGTTCCCGTGCAGGCAGTCCGTCGCCTCGCACCTACCAGCAACTCACGAGTTGTCAACCCGCTTAGCACGAGTACGAACGCCGGATTCACCCGTGCTCCACAGTCCGTCCCCGCACGCTCTCAGCCAGCTCGTCAGATCGTCCAACTCCCAACTCACCTCTCCTACAAATTTGATTAGAGAGTGATTTTGTTGCGCTTGCAAAATTTATAGCTACTTGATGACCCGTTGCGGCTTCGCCCGCAAAAACAGGTGGAACTGCCCTATTATATGCCACTTCTTTCACAATAAGAAAAAGAAGAGCCTGAGAGCAGACGAAAACCCGCGTGCAAGAAAATAGGAGGGAATTTTTCTTTATCTTTGAGTGTGTTGTTTGGGGAGCCGTTACCTTTGCATCATCGTTTTTGTTTTGTGCTAAAGATTCAGATTCAGATTCAGACTCAGACTTTAGGGAGCCGATATCAATAGCAGTGTCTTGTCTGAACTTTTCTAAGAAAATCCTGTCATTTGTCCCGTTGATGTTTTTACTAAAGATTCAGATTCCGACTTTGTTTGCTGTGTTCTCTGGAGATGTTTGTGATCAACCGATCTTTCATGTATGTATGCCCTGTGTTTACTTGTTGAGTTTTGACGCGCTGTGTGCAAGTGCATGCGCGTGCGGGTGAGTCTCAGTTTGGTGGGCTCAGATGATGTCACTGACGATTGGCCCAGGGAAGTTGTTGGAAGTTGCCTCCAACTATAGCAGTGACACTGATGTTAAGCAGGTTTTGCATTGTATGAATGAAACAGTCAGCATTCAATCTGCTTGGCAGTTGCGTTGGGTGGGGGACTTGTCGGGAGTAGCATTGACATGAGAGCCATAATGCCGTGCGTGCATCTCGGAACATTTCCTGGAAGGCAAAAGGCAAAGAAGAAACGAAGTAGCACGTGTCAGAGTCACGTAATGGACAGCTTGGCACAGTCCCCCCCCCCCCCCAAATCTCTCTCTCTCTCTCTCTCTCTCTCTCTCTCTCTCTCTCTCTCTCTCTCTCTCTCTCTCTCTCTCTCTCTCTCTCTTCCCCCCGTGACTTCGAGCTTGGAACCCCTTACTCCACCTTGACCTTCCCCTAGCCCCACCTCCCCCTCCCCTCGCCCAACCTGTCAATCTCTTGATGAGTTGGTGAATAGTCCGATTGCGCCATGTGGCTGGAGTTGTGTATAGAGAACATGACAACACACCGAACAAAAAAGAACAAAAAAGAAAAAGGCAAGACAGCCTGTGCGAGCCTTCCTCCCCCGGCTCCTGCTGACTTCCCCCAACCTTCCTCTCTCTCTCTCTCACACACAAAAATAAAATAAATCGAAAAACAAAAGACAAAAGACATCCCGGCACTTAGTGCGGCTATACCTCCCACCACCTCGCCGGCTTCCCCCTTACCCTCCTCTCTTTCCCCATCTCTCTCTCTCTCTCACACACACACGTACGGAAAAAAAATAGAGAAAAGAAAAAGACAAAAAGCATGATGAACCTTTAACTTTCCCCCCAGCCATCGACTTCCTAATCCTCATCGACTCTCTCCATCTCTCTCTCTCTCTCTCTCTCTCTCTCTCTCTCTCTCTCTCTCTCTCTCTCTCTCTCTCTCTCTCTCTCTCTCTCTCACGTTCCACTGCTGACTTTCCCGTAACCATCCTCCCTTCCCTATCCCTATCACTCTCTCACACACAAAAAAAGGGAAGGAAACGGCTGACTCCTCCTAATCCTCCTCCCTTCCCCCGTCTCTCTCTCTCTCTCTCTGTTTCTCTCTTTCTCTCTCTCTCGCACACACACACACACACACACACACACACACACACACACACACACACTCACACACACACACACAAAAGCACACATAAGGGGACAACAAAAAATAGAGAAAAAATCGCTCCTCGTGGGGCTGCCCCCCTTCCCCGTCCTCCCATCTTTCCCCCATCCATGACATGTACCGCTATCCCTACCGCTCTTCCTCTTTGTCACTGTACCATCCTTACCCCTCTGCTCTCCCTTCCCTCGTATGATGTTGTGCCATGCGCCCCC